TGTTTGTATGCTTATGAGCCTGCTGTAGCAGGGCCCAACATTTACATTACAACTCTCATCATACCAAGTTTCATCGCCATTTAAAAAATAAATATCACCATCTATGTGTGTGACATTCAATGACACTTTTGTTTACCCATATACTTTCACCTGCTTCATTCAGAAAAACAGAGAAGACAAGCCTATGTCACCAGAGAGCATTTCTTTGAGATTAACTGAAAAATGATACTTCTCCATATCTTTTTTCTTTTTTTTTTTTTTAACCAACTGATCTCAGAATGGTCTTTTATATCCAAGTTCCAGTCTGTTCATACTGCTCCTGGTGTGAAAGCAAGGAGAACAGGGGCAGCCCACCTAAAAGCAGAGTGAGTTGCTGCGCTCTGCACCAGGAGCCCCAGCTGGGAAAACTGCAGTTGAGGGACAGCTGAATGTGGAGCTGATGATCTCGCTGCTGACATCCCCCATGGGTTGTGCAGGCAGTGATGAAGCCACTTTTCCTGTGAGAAGTTGCTGAAGAATGTAATGACGCAAAGTGAAAGTGATGCTAATTTGGAGGTGAAGCATGAAGAGACTGTAAGAAGGGAAACTGTGATCAGATTCTTACTTTTTTTTAAAGAATCGTAGGCATGCTGGTTGATGCTGTGGCCTGTGCCATTTCTACTCACAGGTTTCTTCAATCCCTCTGTCCACTAGGAAGTAGCCTAATTAATATGTGAATACTGTGTTGATCCCCTTCTAGGGATCTGGATTTGGTCTCTCTGATTGTCTCTCTTTGCAAGAGAGACAAGAAAAGGCAGCAACAAAGAGCCAAATAACATATCATCTTCTACGGATGTGGTTTGTGGCCAGCTGCCCACAGCGATGCTGCCCATGCCCGCAGCGATGCTGTGCCCTGTTTCCTCCCAGCCCCACCGTCCCGCTGCATGGCATGGTTTGTGGGACCCCGCCGTGGATGGGCTTGGGAAGCTCATGTGGGTTTGAAATGCTGCTTTTGGTTCCCTGGGCAGCTTTGTGCTGGTGCGGCCGCAGGAATGGGCCAGCGTGCTGTCCTGCATCCCAAGTGCATCCCAGCCTCCAGCGGAGCGTGGCCAGGAGCCGGGGTGGCTGGTGCCTTAGCGCAGGTTTGAAGCACTATGTTTGGAGGTTTCAGAGAGCATCTGTGAAAATGTTTAAAGGACTTGGATTAATAAATTCTGCTCTGACCTTCTGATGACTCATTTTTTTCCCACCAAATTCAAAATACAACTTATCCCGTTGTTTCTCTGCTTCAAGCCCTGAAGATCAGCTCAAGGCACAGAAGATCTTCAAAGACTGTGTTCAAAGGCTCCAAGTAAAACCCCATCCATCATCACAGGATGCTGTTAGTGCCCCAAGAAGTGATGTTCAGGGCTACAGCCGCTGTTTATGGTGGGAGTTCGCACTCAGAGCCACCCCAAACTCTTAATTATTGTGTTATGAAATGATCAGTTGGGCTTCAGGAAAGGTTGGCTGCCTCATGGTTATTTGCAGCCCCAGGATGGGGCCCTGCCTGGTAAGGAGCAGGAGAGTCATCTCTCCAGGCCGTGAGATGAGGGACCTAATTCTCGTCCGGCATTGCGAAGGGCGGGAGTGTTGCAGAGACCGGTGCAACTGGAAAGGGCAGGGCTGTGTTTCTGTCCGGCTCTCGCCATGGCTGATCCCATCCAGCTCTGCCACGTAACTTGCTACTCCTGTCCTGCAGGGCAATTGCATTGCCGGCACCAACCATGGAAAAAGTCTTACTGAAATTCTTAGCTTTTGTTTAAAACAAAACCAACAAACCCCTCTGCATTGCTGCATTACTGCTGCCCTCATTTATTGCAGCATTTGTATTCTGGATTGATTATTTATGCTGAGCATTGCAGGCTGGCTGCTTCTGCTGGAAAGAATTCAATTTTGAGTGTGACCTTGTCTTTACTAGCAGGTGAATCGTGTCAAGCTGTCCTTGAGCTACCCTGGGTGAGCGGGAGCTGGCCCAAAAGGGTTAGTCATTTGGGGTGAGACTCGTAAATCAGTTGCAGGTGGGTGCAGGAAGAAGTGCCAGTGGTTGCTTCTCAGGGTGGTGGGTGGGCAGGTTCCTCTCCAGGGCAGGTCAATGCACCAAACAACACAAGTGAGCAGAAAAATTGGTTGTATTCGTGAGACTGTCGAGTTTGTAAGCTCAATGGATTGGAGGGAAAGAATAAAACAGAGAAAACTAGTTTGTTTGTTTTTTTCTTAGTTTTATTGCTTTCCAGAAGTTGTTGCTGTTGTTTGTCCTAACAGCAACAATAGCAAAATCCCTTTGGAGGCTGAATGACAGCTGAACGCACTGCAAGCACAGCAAATGGTTTTCTGCTTTGGTATCAGCAGCACCTTGGACTTGAACCAGATTAGTATCGCTGCTTACAGAAATAAAAGGAAACTGTGTATTTCAAGGTCACTAACAAAAATGTTTCACTGAAGTTTGGCTCATTGGTTTAGCAGCTGTAAGAGATGGCGAGCAGTTTTGAGCAAGTGTATTCTTGTCCTGCAACAAACAGTGACCAAACGCCAAAAAAAGAAGAGAAAAAGAAAGCCCTGTGCAAATGCGTTTGGGTTTCCTCCGGCTGAAGCATGACTGAGTTCTCAATGCAGCCTTGCCTAGCTGGAGCCTATTTTAAAACGCAGCCTTGCCCAGCCTATTTTAAAATCCCAAGCAGTGGTGCTGCCTGTTGCCTGGAAACCTCTTCCCAGCCTCGGGCACTCTCAGCCTGATCATAGCCATCGGCAGCTTTTATTTATTTCCCATCCAAAATGTCATCCCAGGCTTCTGGTTTGTGTTTTTGTTTGCTTGTTTTTGTTTATTATTTAAAATGCAAAGACACAAAGTGTAACCATCAAACTGGGTGACGTTCTGTGGGAACGGTTTGCTTGGCTGCCACTGCATTGCAGTGGTGGGAACTGGTGTTTTAAGCTCTGTAAGGTGGTGGGTGGGGAGGGAGAGGACAAGTGGGTGCTGAGGGCTTGAGGAAGCACCCCAAGCTCTGCTGATGCAGGCAGTGGCTTCCTGTGCCTTGTGACAGTCTCCTCCTTAAGAGGAAAATAAACCCCTAAACATCTCGGAGCCCTTTCCAACATGGGTCCGAGTTCCCCTTCCCGGTGTGGTTGCACCATCCTGTGCCAGACCCGCGGTTCAGCGTTGGGCTGCCTGGATCAGCAGGGACTCGCCTTGCTCCCTGTGTGCTGGGGAATCGTCCTGCAGTTGGGGTCTGTCCCTGCAGAGGTGTTAGTCTCAGCTTTAGCATCTCTGTGTGGTGCCAGATGAAGGGAAAGAAAGTATAACTCCAACATTTCCATGTCTTAGGGCCCTTTTTAATTCACCTAAACTTTTGGCCACCTTAAAACCTTAATTGATGCCACCTCTCCCACAGGAAAACTTTAAACGATTGCTATTTCCGCTTAGTTAGTGAGCACAATCGATTGTGATGGGATGAAGCAGAATTGATCGCAGGAGTCCAGCTATGATGCGGTTGTGTTTGTGTCCAGGGAGTCCCTTGGGAGAGCACTGGGCTAAAATTATCTGGAAATTGGTAACAAATACTAACCAGGACAGCCAGAAGGTTTGTACATGAGACATAGGAGCTGCTTCAGCTGTTCACAAGTTGTTCTTGTGATTTAAATGGATTATTTTACAAAGCTGAGAATATTTGTTCTACCAAAGGCAGAATTAAAGGGAGCTTTGAGTCAAGATGCAGTTGAACAAAGGTTGGTGTTTTGTTTAGCAATCTTGTTGCAGACGTAGAGCAGCACACAAGGCTTATCATGCCATTTCTTTTATTTTCCTCTTGAGTTAATTTAAAGTTTGACAGCCTGCTAAGGCTCTTCTCAGGGTATGCTCTTGCCTTGCAGTCGTAGTGCTGGGGCATTAAGCCCAAATTGTCAGGGACAGACAGAAGAACCCGAGCCAGACGCTTTTTCCATCCTAATCTTCCACAGTGTGCTGGTGATTAAGAAAAATAGACTAATTTACCAAAGGAACTGTGAGGGTGAATGAATCCTGCTCTGAAATCATGTGTCCTTGCTTCTCCATGGAAGGAGAAGAGTGCTTGAGAGGCGGTATGGGCAGTGGGCTCGGGCAGCGTCGCTCAGCTGTGTAGAGAGGTGGCAACATCTGTTGAAATACCTGTGCAAATCCAAACTCTGCTGTTCTTAACCACTAGAAACAGAAATGACCCTTCTGTCAAATCCTCTGTTCTGGAATTATAGCTGATCCGAGCTGCCTTTTTATCTAACACAGGGCATGGACCTGTTGTTTCCTCAGATGTTTATTGTCTTGCTTTCGAAGCAAAGCTTCCTACAGGTGATCAGCATAGTCTTCCTCTGGGGGAGGGAGGAGACAGAAGGGAGAACAAAGTGCATATGGGGGAGGCAGGAAGAGGAACAGCAGAGAAATGGTGGAAAACTGTGTGGTCACAGATGGTAAAGCAAGAGGGTTCCTCACCCCGCCTGTGTGACCAGCACCCCTGGATGTGTGAGTGAACAAAACCACACTGCTTATGGCAAGAGCAAAGGGGAAAAAAAAAAAAGTACTTGTGGAGGAGAGGAATGCAGAGTCTGTCTAGCTGAATTCAGTGCTGGAGGGTTTAAGAAAATAAAATAAAAAAAGATGAGGCAAAATGAGTGCTAAAACACACAGTGGTGGGTTTTCTTTTGCTAATGTCTCCCAGCTGCATGTAGTTGGAGCTCATGCTAGTGTTTTCTTTTCTTTGTAGCTTAGTTCTCCCAATTTCCCATGAAGATCAGTGTTTTCTACCTCTTTTCTGTTGATGGTGGCTGTCGGAGGGTTTGAGTTGTCGTGTGCCAAAATAGAAGCTCTTGTGGGCAGCGTTAGGGTTTGTGTCGGTGGCTATGCAGTGCCCGGCGGGATGGTTATTTCTTGGGCTTGGTGGTTCCTCTTGTGTCTCTGATTTGCCATCTCTGTGCAGTTCTGCTAATCTGATTTCTTGTCCCTACCAGAATGAAGAGAAGAGGAACCTTTCCCTGGGGGGCCATGTCGGCTTCGACAGCCTCCCCGATCAGCTGGTCAGCAAGTCTGTCACACAAGGCTTCAGCTTCAACATCCTCTGTGTGGGTGAGCACAGTCCTCTGCAAACAGACATGGGCTGGCGGCGCGGTGAGGTTGGGACCAGGATTTATTTATTTATTGTGTGTCCTGCTGCGCCATGGGCCTCGGCAGTGACTTTAAGCAAGTCAGAAATGCCTAACTTTTTTAAAAAGTTGTTTAATTTCAGCAAACTTGAGGTCTCTGGAGTTTGATGCTTCTGAGTTGTGACTTTCACAAGTGACTGTTGGAGACTCATTACCCAAAATTAGAAATAGTTTTTGGAAAATACTTTAAGATATCAACTTTCTGCCTTTGGTGGGGGGAGGAAACAGGTGTGGGGCTGTCGAGCTCTGCATTGAGCTGAGCTACCGATGCAGGAGCCGC